GGACTTAAGCAGCTCAAAATATATTTTGAATATTGCATAGTTATGTTAAATTGGAAACGATACCTAAATTTAAATTACTTTTTATTATACCCTGAACCCATTTTCAATGGGAAATCAGGGTATAATGGTTTTGTTGAAATGTATGTAACAGGGAGAAGGAGGCGTGGCAGACCCCACAAAGTATATATATTCTTGATCAGGGTGACGAGCTGAGTTGATTTGGCCCTGTCCGTCTGTCTGTCCGTCTGTCCGTGTGTGCGTACGTGCCTGTGTGTGTGTGTGTGCGTGTTTCTTGTGTAAGCTGAAAGACGCGAAAAATTATTGAAATATCTATTGCTCCAAGGGTTCAGGGGATCTCGTAGTCGAGCAGTCTCGACTAGAGCTTTCTTACTTGTTTTATTTTTAAAGTTGTCTTACATTAACAGCTCCCTACATATTTTGTATATTTATACCTTTGCTAAAAAAAAATTATAAATGAAACTGAAAATATTATTTAGACTATAAATCTAATATAGGTATAATGTCTGAGAGTCAGCTGCCTTAGAGTTAAGATAACATCTTAAATAATGCTTGTTTTTCCTAGATTTGGTGATGTTTACTTAGACATAACAAGCAATTTAACAATTTGCTATATAAAATTTAGTATTCACTTAAAAAAATGTAATATTTTAACTTGTTATTATAGCATTTATAATCATTTATTCAATGTAATTAGTTTTTCTATTTTATCTAATTCTTTTCTGTCGTTTTTGTTTTCTAGAAATGGCTAAAGGCGACTTCAATCCGCAGCAACCATTAAGTCATATGCAGAGAGACTTGCGCCTAGTGCTCAACATGGCTGAGAATTTGGATCAGTCAATGCCAGTGACGAGCATTACGAATGAGGTGTTTAAGCACACAAAACGCTTGGGGTACAGCGAGCACGATTCTAGTGCTGTATTCGTAAGATCCAGATTTTAACATTTAGTTAACACGACTACCATTTAAACTATACATTATCATTTAGTTTAAACCGTACATCAAACGAATGAAACACATCCATATAAACTGACACACACACACAGAGAGAGATCCACGCCACAGACAGGCAGACAGAGACAGACAGACGCAGACACACACATATTCAGTCGTGTTGAAAGCAATAACCAAACAATATGTTTAAGCAATGCTTGTTGCAATAATTTGCATCACATTTTTTTAGTTATTGTTCTTGCAACACGAATTCTAATCCATTCATATCTCTACTCCCCCTAACTGCCTCTTCACTTTCCTCCATCCAACCAACAAAAATCAAACAAAACGCTATCACACATAAAACTAGAGTAACTTCTATCCAGATCAAAGTCTAAAGCAAGCAACCAGGTCAATTAACATTCTGGCAAACATGCCAACCAAATCGGGGCTCTTGATTCGGTTGGGGATGCCGTCGACAAACTCGCGGCGCCAGCGCTCGGCCAGCGTTTGAGATCAGATATGTGAGAGCAGATCAAGAAAGAGGAAGAGAGAGGGAGTTAAACAGAGTGTGAAGCGATCAAGAAAATGATGTGAATTGACGGGAGACCTATAAATGAGACAAGATCAAGCAGGCATATATATGTTTATATATATAGATATACATATATGAGTCCAGCAGTTGTGTGTTAGCGGACCGCTTTCATACCTCCTTGTGCGTTATAATTTGTAAAAGTTTTGATTTTTTTAACATTCATATTAAAATATTGTTTTGAATTATTTTGGGCCCCATGTTGTCAGCCGACGCCGCTGTACGAGCAATAATTCTGCATGACTTGCGACCCCCCTCAACCCCGCATGTTCAAATATCGCACACAAATTGAGCAAGTCTGTAAATTGTTGAAAGCCCGAAATTAATTCATCTATTCTATTCTATTTTGTTGCGTAAAACTTGACGTTTAACCAAAAAAGAAATGTATTTCAAAATGTACAGAGCATGCGATTAAAGTGTACAAAATGAAATTACTTAAAAATAAAAACTTTTTAAAATCATTAAAAAATCTTCAAGAGCTATTGCTTGTTCGCGGCGCTGGCTGCAATTTATTTTAACCAAAATAAAAAAGAAACAAAACTTCATTTTAGCTAGTTTACTTATATCGCACATAAATCTAATTTGCATAATGACCTATGCAAGAACTGCAATACCAACCACCATTTCGTAGTTTTCTTTTCATAAACAACACAAAAGAAAACAAAAGCAAACAAACAACAGAATACATAACTGGAACAGAAATAAAAAAAAAAAAAATCACAAAAAAAAAATACAAAAACAAAAAAATTAAAAAAAAAAGAAAGAATGAAAACAAAATATAGTGTAAACATTTAGAGCCAAAAAAATTCTGATGAGACTATAAAAAAAAAAAAATAAATAAAAAAAAAAAAATACAAAAACAAAAAAATTAAATAAGAAATATACAGAAATAAAATATTTAAAATGAAATATAACTATATTTGCAATAATGAAATTATAAAATCAACAAGTTATTTTAAAAGATTTTTATTTGAATTATTAACACAGCCTTTCTGCTAACTTCTGCCTTTTTGCTTTCGAATTGAATTCAGTTCTTCTTCTCCGGATGTTTTGTTAGTTGAGTATCGATTGCACGATAGTTAAATAGTGAAGTATCAATAAGATTATGGTATAGTACCGATACTTATCTAACTTGTTAGTGAGTGCTATCGCCCTAAATGCCTATTGACATTTCCATTACAATTTCCCATGCTCACAAAAAAAAAAAAAAAAAAAAAAAAAAAAAAAAAAGTTTAATTAAATTTTACAATATACAATAATATAATTTTAATATTTTTAATTAAATTGAAGATACTAAAATCAAAATCATGAAACTTTAGTTAACACCCTGTATATTAATATAATTATAAGCTTCCCTCAATATTTTAAGACCTATCCAGTGTTTTTCTACTCTGACCGATATTTACAAATAATTGTAATTTTTGTATATATGTATTTTCAAAATTAAAATACTTTTAGACAAGCAAAATAATAAATTTTATATATTTCTTTAAACTTCTTCTTTATATATTCTTAGTAAGCTTTTATCCACCTCTAAAAAGAAGCGCTATAAATCTTAGAATTTCAGGTATTTTTATTTAACCCAGAGTAAAATTACAACTTTTAATATAGGGGTTTAAAAATATTTAAATTGTTTATTATATTTATTCAATAAATTTCCTTACTTTGTTATCCAATAAACAAACAAACAAATCTTTACACTATTATTCCGATACTGTATACATATTTGTTCAATGTAAGAGAAACATATCGAAATGCCATTAATCGACATATCGCAGACAAGCTTAGAGTGCAATAACACCCCATTTAGCGAGGGCAAATCGGCAACAAAGCGCTGCGCACAACTTGAGAGTCGTTTTCTCAGACACACACGCACACACTGACACGCTTGTCCTGGGGGAAATATGAATGAACGCGCTGCTCGACAGGTGAGGTAAGCTGCTGGTCCCGTGGCCCAGGGCTTGTGTGCAGTGGCAAATGCGAGCGCTCTTGGCCCCTTTCATGGCCATAAAGGGACGCGCCGCACCACAAATTATTGAACGCAAATAAATATATGTGCAAAGTTGGCTGCAAGGGGCGCGATCCATAAATAAAATGGCGACAAAATAATTATAAAAAGAACACAACAAAAAAACAAGCTAAAAACAAGAAGTTGTAGCTGTGGTCAGCTTTTTCGATTACAACTTTTTCCGCTAACAGAATGCGAGAAATAAAATTGGCAACATTCAACACGCCCACGTGTTATAGTATCTGTGTGTGTTTGTGTGTATGGCCTGGCTACCTAAACAATTTCAACTTAATGACACAACAATCACAAATGCCATAAAACATTTGATATACATATATGTATGTGTATATATATGTGTGTGTTTGTGTGGATCGCACGTAGCTTTTGTGCGCTGTCCTTCTTTATATTATTTTATTTTCGTAAACTATTTTGGCTGCGTGAATTTTTGGCTTTTCGCTGGCTTTTTGGCCAGCCGGATGGGCGCATTGTTATTGCCCGCTTTTTTTGGCTTTTGGCTATTTGCACTGCAAAGTTTTTCTATTATATTCAAATTAAACTTTTCGCTCCTATGCCATGCGAGTCAAGAAATTGTTGCTTCAGGCCACACACACGCGAGTGAATGTGCGAGTGTGTGTGTGTGTGTGTGTGTGTGTGTGTGTGGAGGTGTGTCTGTTTCAGTTTGTATTTTATTGTGGCACATTAGATGGTGCTGCCTGTTGAGGTATCGCTCCTGCTCTGAGGGCAGCTGCGGCACGTTCCGTCATTAAACTGCCGCCTGGCAACAACTGTCTGCTTGCTCTTCTTCGCCTTTTTAGGCATTCACCGTTTGCAGCTTTAAAATAATAAATTTTGCGCTCTTCTGGGGTATTAGACTGCAGAAAAAAAATTAAAGTTTGCGGCATTTGGCTGGCTTTGACCAGCTGATACTCGCTCGAGCGAGGTTATGATTAGATTGAAGTCTGGCTAGATTTCTAATGTAAAAAACTAATATGCCACTCTACACAAGGTAAATGAGTATATAAAATTGTCCTCATAGAGCTTTAAATGGTATTGCTACAAATACTTAAGCCAGAAAGGACTTCATTTCAAGCTGAACTCAGATACTTTTACATAGAATAAAATATACAAAT